AAAGACGATGGAAGAGAAAAAACAATTATCTTTTCACCTTATTTATTGGGTAGACAAAAACAACTGAAAATAAATAAATAAGTAATACCTGTTTAATACACGGAAAAGATGGCACGATATATTATCGTCAGCCTAAAAAACGTTTATTTTTTAAAGTTTTGTATTAAAAAATACGAAATTATTATTATTTGATCATAAAAAAAAACTTATTTAACACGTGTTAGCACTTGTCTGGTAGTACCCTACCACATATTGCAGTCTCCATGGGAAAGCAGAAACACACAAGCTCTCTTGTCTTTTCTGCTTTCTTTCCAAATGCGTATAGAATAAAAATTGTGTTCTTTTATTTTCTTTACTTATTTCTTAACCAGTTTGCCATCTTCTTATGTTCTTTGTCTCAAATTCTTTCTTTCATTTTCCACGGCAAACACTGCTAGAATTAAAATTATTATGTTTTCGTAACAAATTATTGTATCTCTTTCCAAAATATCATTTACCTTGTTTTACACTTCTTCTTCTTTTTTATGTCTCTTTTATTATAGGATTTTCTGTCCCTTTTTATTCAAGAAAAGTTGCCAATATATGAGTAAGACAAATAGAAATAAATAAATAAATTTAATAAAAGAGAAAAAAATTATAAAAAGTTTTATACATTAATTTATCTTAAAATATTAATCCATTTTATATTTATTATGGTTGACTTTTTTCAAATTATAAATAAGAAGATAACAAGTTGAATTTCATAAATTTTTTAGTAATTTGGTGTTTTTTTTATTGAAAAATATGTTCCTTCAAAGATTTGAAAAATAAATAAATTAAATTAATTATTTAAAATTAGGTTAATTTTGATATAATTTATTTAGTCCGTATAATTTATATAAATTTAAGACAAATTAACTCATTAGTTTAAATTTTAAATTGTTTTATGAAATAATAATTATTTTTAAATTTAAAATAAAAGTACGTTAATAATATTGTTAGAATTTTATCTTTGAATTAAGTCAATTATAATACAAGGGTAAAAGATGTTGTCGTATTCAAAAAAATTTGACAGATATTATATATTTCCATTTCAGTTTTCATTCAATTAAAACTTAGAATAGTTAGGTGATTTTGTAAGACATATTATTAAACAAAGAAGTTAGTTATTGTTTATAGTTTAATATGGTTCCATTACCAAGTTTGCAACGAATCATTTTAATCAACATGTGTATTTTTTTAATCATGAAAAGTAAGCCCAAATATTTTTCAATTTGAGAGAATTCTGAGTTATTGTTAATTATTCAATAATTAAGATAAAATAAATTTTTATTAGTGATCTTTCATGTATAATTTGAATTTTAATATGAGTTATAACATAAATTGTGAAAAATGTATAAGTACAATAAAAATAAATGGTTAGAAAGTAGATGTGTAACAAAAGTAAATTATAAAAAGATAAATTTAACTCATTATTAATGTTTAAACAAAAATTTACTAAAAAACTTACTTTATAATGTTTGTGTTGTGTTTGTAACTTTTTTTTGTTAGAATGCAAGTTTTCAAATAATTTGATAATTATTTTTTTTACATTTATTTCATTTTATTTATATATTTCTTGTGTAACTATTTAGAAATTTAAATTAAAAATAAAATACAAGAAATAAAAATCAAACAGACAATTATTTTTTTTATAACTATTCTCCTTCGAGTCATTTTATTATCACGTAATACTTATAAGTGCATATGTCACGTAATAAAACTATAATTATTTTCGTATATCTTTCGATTTTATAACTTTTTCTCAATTTTTTATCCTTCCTTATTTACATAATTATTTCTTGATGTCTTGTTTCTTTTCATTTCATAATCTCTGACTTGACATTCCCAAGTCTTCTATTCCAAATATTCGAATGACCATTTTATATCTTTAATTGACCTATATTTGTTCAACTTGATATTTTAACAGAATAACATGTATTTTTTTTAGTCTTTCTTAACCACAACATTAATCTTAATTTGCACTTTTTATTTATTCATTCTAATTTATTAATCTCTTAAACTATTTTTGTTTTAAACGACTCTTTTAGTTTCTATATTCAACCCTTGTTAATTTCGATTTTCTTCTTTCATTGTCATTTTTTTTCCTTGAGAACTCTAATACTTTTCTCAATTTATTTCTTTTGATATATTTGTAAATTTATCAATAACAATTATATAATAAAAATATAATAAGATAAATTGTTGAATTGAAATTCACTTATAAACCTTTTGTAACCTATTATTTATTATATATAAACTCAAATATCAGTTTCAAGTAGAACATATCATTCTAATTTAATTCCTTAATGCTAAAAATTTTTAAATTCTTAAACAATCAATCAATATTTTGTTAAAGGGATTAAAATTCTTATAATAAACACAGTATCTTTTACACATCAATAACTTCAACTTTATTCCAAACAGTCAAGTTTAAATATTGATTTAAATCAAGTCAAAAATAGATTTTTTTTTAATGTAGGTTTATATCTAAAATCATGAAATTAGATTATTCTAAATCTAACCATTAAAAACAAACCAAATCAAGAATTAAAGAAAAGAATTTTAGATAGAAGTAAAATTATATAAGAGTTAACAAGTTACATTCCATCTAATAGAAATGAAATTGAGAAGAAAGAGCCCTAATTGTACAAAAAGATGCACTATAATATGGTTAGCTTTTAATCCTAAACTCTGGTTCTTCATGTTCATATTTCTTCTTTCTCCTTTTTATTCGTGCCTCCCTTTTTTACTTCACTTCTTTATTCACACACAAGGAAATTCGCAACCCTTTTAACCATTTGATTTGCGATATGAAATTTACCTAGTGGATTGAGGATTCTTCACCCTAAATGATTTTATTTCGTTGGCACTTTTATCATCTACTCAGCGCTTTTGTTTTTTTGGGAGTCAAATCTTTATATAGTGAATTTGTTTAACCTTTTCCAAATCACCCAACACTTGTTCACTTTACTCAATGCTTCCAACTATTCTAGGTATAGTCAATATTGCCTCAATTTTACTCAGTGGAATAAAAATCGCTCAGCAAATTGAAAATAATTGTTCCTCCTTCTTCATCTCTTGATTCGTTTAATAGATTATAAATCACTCAGCTGGTATTGCAATCCACTAGTTTTTGTCTTCCATTCAATATAAATTACATTAATTTTTTTATCAACTCTTTGTGACTCATAATATAAATAATTAAATAGCTAATGAGAGTTTTTATAGGTAATTTATTTCAAACTACATAAAATAAGGGTCACAAACATAAATAAAAACATGTAATTTAGTCACTTTATATATATAGGTATATATATATATACATATAAATTATTTCAAAAAGAAATTCATTTACTTCAAAAATAAAAATTAATTGAACTTCCAAAATTCATTTACTTTGGATCATTATAATATTATTAGAAAAGTGAAGTGTGAAAGGAAAAAATAAATTTCTAACTCTTAAACACCTTTGTTTGTAGGGAAGTGAAAAGTAAATGGAAGAAAAAAAAATCTTGTTAAAAGATAAACAAAAAAAAAGATGTCATATTTCACCAGATGGTACATGTTTTACTTTCTACTTATTCTCATATCTCATACATGAAAGAACAAAAATTGAAAACTACAAGAAAAATATTAGTTTATTAAATTATTTTTACTTATTTATTTTTATTTTTATAATATATATATATATATATATATATATATATATTAATTATTATTTTGATAACCTCATAAATATAAAATTGATTATAAAAATTAATTAATATATTTTCTTAACAAAATATTATTTTATTGATATTAATAAATATTTATAGTAAAATATTATTTTATAATTATATATCAAAGTATAGTATTGAAACAAAAAGATATATTAATTTAAAGGTGTTAATTTAGAAAGTTATTATATTTACAAAAAATAAAATAATAACTATATGAATAATTTTATAATTAAATACATTTTTAAATTTTATTTATTTAATTTTTATTTATTTAATTTTTATTTATTTAATTTTTATTATTTTAAATAAATATTTTTTTTATTTTCATGTTATTTTTCTCTTAACGAACAAATATACTTTACATCATATTTTATCTTTCTTCTTTTTTCGTATTTTTTTTATTGATCATTATTTTTGAAGAGAATGAATCTATCCTTATTATTAAGTTATTATATTTATAATAAAATTAATCTCATTAATATAAATAAACTTTTAATATATATTTTTTATTTAATTATTTTTAAACTTTTTGGGGTTAATTGTTTAGATAAAAAAATTACTTTATTACTACATCTAGTATATGATAAATTAATTAAAAAAAATCACTTGTTTTAAAATGAAATAATATTTTAATTATAATAATACTAAAAAAATTCATCACAGATATTTACTCACTGCAATAAAAGGAGAGAAACTAGTTTTTTTTTAAGTATTATTAAATTATTTAACGTAGTAATAATATATTTTTTTATGAATAAATACATTGATTTTATTTTTTAAAAACTTATTAAAAATACTTTTTACAAAGAAAATAAAAATTTAAGAATGTGAACAAACAAAATTTAAAGAGGATAATTAAGTAGACTAGTAGCATCTCTTAAGCTACATACATGTGTACGTCATGACTGACACTTAAAATCAAAGTATGATAATTTGTCTCTATTACATGACCCATCTAATTACAAGTTTTCCTTTCTCTATTTTCTATTTTATTATACAAGAAATTGTACAGATACAGATTTTCAAAATAAATAAATAAATAAAAGCCTACAATGGCACGGAGTTGTAATTTTAACTCAACTTGGGAGCATTTTTGAATAAGGTCATCTTCCACATTAACACAAACTAAACAGATATTTCCATCATTTTTCCCTATAAATATTGTATGCTATGTTGTCTCTCAAAAAAACATTAAACTCTTTCAAGAAGAACATTTTACTCATCTTTGAGAGAGCAAGAGAGTTATCATCTAACCTTACCATGAATCATCGACCTATTGAAGCCCATAGGATGCTCTTCTCTCAGCTATATCCTGGTGCATTCACTGAAGTAACAACTCCTCAACAAGGTCTCCATTCAAATAATAACGTTTAACATTGTTCTAGTATATATTCATGATTCTGTATCTTCAAGATGATATTGGACACTCTTAATCTAAACTAATTTGTTCACGTCTTTGCATAGGGGAAGCCAAGCCAAGACGCAAGAGAAACAAAAAGAATAGGGATGGAGAAAATGGAGCTGTGGGCACCACCAAGAAGAGAAAGCTCACTGCTGAGCAGGTTAGTCTTCTTGAGAAAAATTTCAGCAGTGAACAAAAGCTTGAATCTGAAAGGAAGGACCAACTCGCATTTGAGCTTGGTATGGACCCTCGACAAGTTGCGGTATGGTTTCAAAATAGACGTTTTCGTTGGAAGAACAAAAAGTTGGAGGAAGAGTACTCCAATCTTAAGAATGTTCATGAAACCACCGTGCTCCAGAAATGCCACCTTGAGACTCAGGTTGGAACCACTAATTAATTTTTTCAATATACCTTTTTATCACTATATATGTCATTGGTCTACTATATTCTTGAACTTAAAATAAACTTGGTAAACAAAAAAGAAAAAGAAGTTTGTGAAAACAATGAGTTTTAGTAAGATTCGTTTTGCATTTTATGAGCTGTGTTACTTCGAAGTCGTTGCTTTATGTATTTTGTTTCAAACAGTTCCCTCACCCCACTACTGGTTTAATCACGTAAACGTTAAACAAGTACTTACAACCAGTACTTTGATTTGATACCCACAAGAACAAGACTTTTCAAGTCGTTGGGCACATAAGATAAGTTAAAAAGAGTTCAAGTATTTGGATAGAAAATTCTAAAAACATTCTTATAACTAGTTATAATAGTATGTAATCATCTTTATTTATCACATATTTTTTATTAAAATTTCTTCTAAAAAATAAAATAAAAATCTTTTTGTAAAATTATTTTAAAAAACATTATTCTAAAGAAGTTAAACGGAGAGTTTTTAGAAAAAGACAGAGAAATGATTTGACATGAAACACCAGAAGGCATCCTTAGTGTACAATAAAAGCCACCATCTTTCGGCGTTACGTACAATATTTTGTGTGCTGACATTGGGCAATGCTTAATGCGCACTTATAAGAACCCACGTGAAGTGTTCAAATACACTGCATCTCGAGTGCCGGAAAAAACAAAAACAAAAACAAACAAGACGCTACAACTTTTATCACTCTGGTGTTGGTAAATAATTAACCTTTCCAGATTAGGGCATCACAATTCACATAAGACTGAAAACATAATCGCATCATTCAAACATAGGTGTTGAAACTGGAGGAGCAGCTTTTGGAAGCAAAGAAGGAGATGCAGAAGCTAAAGGAGCGTGGTGAAAGAGCTCCAACCAAACACTCACTGGAAGCTGTGAACCCACCATTTCTTGGAGAGTTCAGGGTGGAAGAATGTGATTACGATGATGTTTTTTACGTTCCTGAGTGGATCAATCTCTTCAAGTGAACCTCAACAAGCTTAGTTAGCATTATGTCAATTGTTTCAATAATGATTTTGTAAATAACTTCAATTATCCAATGTAAATTGTTTCATTTGGTAGCGTGCAATCTATTGTGTAAGTTGGAAAGTGCATATAAATGTGCCTGTTTTGTTCATAACTCTCATGGGCCAAGGGATTATGCAAATAATATAGGGATTTGATCTTCAATAATGCTTTATGTTTCTGTGACACCTAGCCTATCCTAATATGATAGGACCCCTCCAATAGAGGAAAAAGAGGCATAAAGTCAAAGGAAAAAAACATATTCGTTTGACATATATGCTATCAGGATAGTCATGTAGCTAATTAGTTCATTGAATTGGAACTTCACTTGTCACCTTATATGTTCAATCCTTCTTCTCAGGAATGTAATCATAAAGCAACTCCTTATTGGGTCTGTGTAGAGGTTTTCTTGAAAATGATGGTCCTTATTACTAAATTAAACAAAGCACTATTTTGTAGAGTGTTGGATTAAATTAGGTAGCTTTGAAGAGATTTTCCAAAGAGATTTTTATAACAATTTATACTAAAATTCTAAATAAAATATATTATTTGTCAGTTATCAATTTAAAAAAAATATTTAATTTCATAAATTTAAATAAAAAATAATTTATAAATTTTAATTTAAAATAATTTCTCAATAATTAATGTTTTTCTCACTCAACAAACTGATAATTAAAATACACATACCTGATATTCATTTAATTTATCAATTTATATTCATTTAAAGTATCAATATAATAATTTATTATCATCCCTAATTATAATTACTTAAAATACATTTATATATTTTAAACAAATCTTATTATAAGACCCTCTATATTATACATAAAATCTATTATTTTTTATGTTTTTGATAATACACTTACACATAAAAATAATAATTCTTCAAAAAGAGTAAATTGTATATCATTAAAATAATTCATTAAGTCTTTGTCCTGATTAATAAATAAATGTTTATATATAATATAGAGACAAAGAGATTTATTCGCTCTAAGAATTATATGCGTATTTTTTATTTTTTTGTAATATAACAATTTTAAATAATATTTTATCTTAATCATTATAACATTAACGATAAAAAGTAAAATTGTAAATTACTTTTTGAATATGTGAAGTTAATATCACTTAATCAATTCAGTATAATTTGAATAAAACATTATTTATATATTTAGTTTGAATAAAAAAATAAATGTTTTAACAACTTTATATATATGGCTTAATTTTCTTAGTAAATTTTCCAAAAACAAAACATAAGTACTTTTCAAATTAGTTTTAATTTGTTTCAAACATATTAAATACGGTTAAGTCAAATACCATTCATATCCTTGTTTTATTATGAGAGAATAATTTTTTTATTAATATATATATTGAGATAGAGAGAGAGAGGAGAGATGTAAATTTAAAATATTTTATTCATTACAAACTTAAAATTGAATAATATTTATTAAAATTGAAAAAAATATTATTAAATATGATAAAATTTATAAATATTATACTTTGATAAAAACTGTATCAATTATTTATGATATGTTACAATATTGTTATGATTATTATAAATAATTAACATTATTGGGCATTAAAATAATATTTTAATTCAAAAAATTATTAAACATAACAAAATGTATAAATACTATAATGTGATAAAAATCATGTGAATTATTTATGGCATGTTACGATAATATTTTAAAGAAAAATAAATAAAACTTTGACATGTTGTGATAATATTACAATTAATATAAACTATTTAATATTAATATTGTCATTAAATTTTTAGTTAACATTTATATAGTTTTTAAATAAAGAATATAAATTAATGTATAAAATTCAAGAACGGATATTAAAGACAAATTATCATAATATGTTAAATCTTCCTGAATTTTATTGATAAATAAAATAAATTATAATAACATGTATATATTAAATAAAAGATATCTAATGCACATAGCACATTGAAGAACATAAGACCTTATCATGTTGTTTATTATATTCATTTATTCGACCACCAAAAGGAATCTTAATATTTGAATTATTTTGCTTATATTTGGAATAAGTAGAAATATATACATGAAAATTTCTGGCTAATTTTTTTTAACTTCTTAATTACGTTGATTAGGGTAATTTATGTATTTGAAAAAAAATATTTGAAAAAAAAGCCTTCATATTTTATATTATTTCCTATCCAACTTTTGAGATTTCATGTTTTAGAAATATAAAAAATTATATATAAGATAGGTTAAACTTAACAAATATTTATTTTGTTTAGTTAACGTCTTCAACAAGATGTAAAATAGAAAAATTATTCAAGTTGAATGCTTAATTTGTTACTCAAGCTAATTAATTTATTAAAACAAAGTAAAAGCTTGAATTTAACTTCTTTTTTTAAGTTTTGTGGTTGAAAACTTTCTTTTATTTAAGAAAGAGAAGAAGATTGGAAAAGAAAAGAAGAGGGAAATCTTTCATATTTTTATTTATAAACTTTTGAAATTAAGTTTACCTCTCCCATTTCTATACATATTTTAAAATCTAAAATTAATCCATATACATCATATACATATCTAAAGTTAAAAGAAGTTTTAAATATATATATTCAATTTAATTAACTATCACTTTTGAATTCAGTCACACATCTCAAGACACGAAAATAACTCCTTATAACATCCCTTATATTTTTAATAAAGTTACATTCATCTTCTTATTTTCTTTAAAAAAATATTAACTAAATTTTAAATGAAAATTTATAAAAAATTAAATTAAAGAATAATATTTATGATAAAATTTAATAATTATAAATTAAAATATCATTAAAAAGACATTAACATTAAGTTTTAAATTTTCCTATCATATATAAAAATGTTTTTTCAGAAAATAATTTTTGTTTGTTGTAAAAATAGATTTTTAGTTATTTATTTATTTATTTAGAATTCATAAATTTTTATTCAAGTTTTAATAGTATGATATTTTTAATATAATAAGGGAGAGTATTATATATTACATAAATAAAAGAGATGAGTATTATTTATTAAAAATTTCTACTTCAATAATATATTTAAAATAAAAAAGTACTTGAAATAGGATATGTGTAAGTTTATTTATTTAATTAGATCTTATTATTGTTGATAAAAAAATTCAATAATAGAAAATAAATTTCTATAATATAATATAAGTAGTTTGC